GAGTACTCACCGTCATCTTATGAGAGACATCTCTCGTAGTACTCCACAAATAATGACGAGGGGAGGGCACAGGTCACTATTCGGGGTCACTCGCACACCCGCCGCGAAGAGTTACCACCAAAAGGAACGCGACTAACTACTAACTCCCCCCTCGTATTCCGCCTTCTTTTATTGAGCTTCGACAGGCTGACTTTACCAAAATTATGACCCCGCGCTCCAGTTCGCAACTTAGGAATTCAAATGTTAGCAAAACCAACCTTTCGAAACACAACTCGTTACGGAATACCAGGAAGTTGACCCCCTTTGTGACAATAATAATTGAAAATGAAGGCGGTCTATTTAAATGACGCGCAATTCCGTGTTAGTAACGCATTTGACCACCAGAGGCTCGTGTTGCCAGTGATTTTCTAGGGAGATTTCATTTCTTATTCTCTTTGTTCTGTGGTTGACACCAGGGGTATTTAACTCTTATGACGTATTTCGTTGAATAAAGTTTAGTACCCACAGTTGCTCACAGATATCGCATTAACGTTAGTCGCGTTTCGAAATAGGTGAAAATCAGCCGTCAATAGATGGTACTAAAACATCAATGTTTTCCCCATTTGAATAGTTTACAGTTTTTCTGAACGTTTTAATTGTGAGAATATAAAATTTAGTGTTTAGGTACGTATAAATGGTAAACACAAGGAACAAAGGTGCAATGTGTTTGAACAATTTTTAGTGTTTAAGTTTAGGTATTAGTGTTTTATTGATACATTAAGTTATAAGAGGTAAGAAAATGCCTAATGTATAAGCGACATTCTAAGATTTTGTTAACAAGACGTGATGAGTTTGAGCCGAAATCCCTCTTCTGTGCCAGGGTGTCACAATAGAGAAAGACCTTTTTTCAACTTTCCAAACCCCGAAGAGGCCAGGACATGTCTCGGAAGTGGAAATATGCGGTGAATACCCAAATTTTAAGGACCATTTTTACAAGCATTTGCACAGAATTGGGTAAACATGTGTTAATATTTATCAATTTATTGACAGTACAGTGTAGGACCGATTTACAGAGAGCTAAGTAAAATTTAGTTGAAAAATGCATTAATACGAATTAAGTTGTCATTTGCTTTGCATTTCCACACGTCATTTACAAATAGCAAGGGAATGCTGTACTTACTTAAGCCTGTTTCAGTTTTGTTTGCCACAAACATTTTAAGATGGAGGATTTTAAAGAGGGTACGCATCGATTAAAACCTACAGCGGTACCATCTGTAAACCTGACAACAAGTGAGATTCTTAAGTTTGTGTTATGATGTTTTATTTAAATTTGTTTGCACTAGGTACAGAAAACGGAGGTGCGTCAACGTGTGGTAATTATAAATTATATCTAAGTAGTAATATTATTGTAAAATTATGTTATTAAAGGTAAGAGGATATCTCCCATTGCAACGGAACCTGCCACTCCCACGAAGGTGACCATCACCCCAGCATTTGTGACTCCCCCAAAGGAAGCTTGTGTGGGAGCAGACAACACTTCAATCAAATTATTGCAAATCAGAAATCAGACTTATATCATGGGTCACTGGTTTAATGACTTCACATTTATTAGTTTTTATGAAGCTCACAGTTATGTGTTCATCTGCTTCTTCATCTAAATATATTTTTACGACTACCTGCTTTGTGTTCTACATTATCGAATATTTTTTTATGTTTTATTTTACTTTTTCTCTCTTTTGTTCCCAATTGTTCCGATTTGTTGTCTTTTGTTCCGGATTATTCCCGTTGGTTCTCATTTGTTCTCGTTTTATATGTAATCTTTATGCCAACTGAATTTAGCCCCATATTGAGGGAATTTCTGGAAATATTTTTAGATTTGCAAAATTCTGTCTTTGTTAGTTTTTTATTTACAGTCGAATTGAGATATTCAATAGCAAAATTACGATTTCTTATTTGAGTTACTTCATTGATATTTCTTGGTATATTTAGTTTTTTATCAAGAGTAAAAGATTTGTAACTATTTTTAAATTGCTGGAGTTCAGATGGTTGTCTTGTTTTTAATGGTGTATAATACTCTGCCACTATTTTGTTCTCTTTAATATTCGTCATTTTTTTATTTATTTTAAAAAAATTGTGTAATTATGCTCTTTCGATAAATCAATAAAGCAATAAAGATTGGTGTTGGACAGGTTAAGGCACGTTGAATCTTGAGTTTGATTTATTAACAAATGTAGATAAGTACACAAAAAAAAACCTTTGACCATGATCTAAGTACTTCTTTCGTAGCACTACGGCAAGTAAATATAGTTTGTCAAGTGTGTAAATAAAAACAAACAAAAAAATTCACTCTAATTGTAAAAACGTAAAATATATACCAAAATACAATAAAATACATACATAACGAAGAATTTAAAAACTATGGAAATTGATTTAAAGAAAAAGCCGGGGATGGACTAATTATAGGTTTATAAACAGTTTGCAGCCTTCAATACATCTGCACCAATAAATAGTTCACACGTAATTACAGGAAATTGCTGACAGTCGAAATATGAGACTTAGAATGAATTACAAAATTATTGATTTCAATAACATCAAATACACTTTATTTATTAAATTAATTAAAAATAATTTGATTAATTGAAATATTTAAATACTTTTTCAATGGTAAAGAATTAAATTTCAGATTAATTAATCATGTAGAAGCCTGATGTAGGTCCTATATGCCTTGCATTATGCTAATTTGTTTGAGATTTAAAAATAGTATTTTTATATAATTTTTTTAATGATACATATTGTAAACTGGTTTATAATCTTTTAAATAGATAATGTTGGCTCTAAGGACAGCAACAGTTTTAAGCAAAGGAATTCGTGGAATTCGAACAACTACTGGTTTAGAAAAAAGAAAAAAAGTATTTGGAAAAACAATTAAAAAAGTTGTCGATTTTGAAAGACGGAGAAGCGAGAAAGCATTGGCCGAAGAAAGACAGGAAAGAGAAAAAGCATTGGCCGAAGAAAGACAGGAAACAGAAAAAGCTGTTGCTAAATTAAATGAGCGAATCTCGATCCTAGAGTACGCTAATGTCTTAAAAAAGCGAATAATAGAAAAGGTCTTCCCAGACAAAGATGTGAAGTTGCAGGATATAAAGCAGATTCCAGGTTATATAAAGCGACAGGAAAGTCAAGATCTTCATTGTCAAGAACGATGGACAAACCTCGAAAATGCATTTCGGTGCCAAGGTCTAGATATATTAATGGTGGATGAGGATATCCGATACTTTATTGATGTAGGTAATATCGAAGCTCATACAAAAATTGAATATGACACATACATGGACAGAATTTTGCTAATTGACTACAAATATTGGGTAATTATTGTATATATTTTGGGATTCATAATATCTGTAACATTTGGGGCAGTATAATTTGCTCCCTTTTTAATCTTGGTTGGATATTTTACTTATTTGTCTTTCATAGGTATGTTTCTACTCTACTTATCTATATGTGACTGTTGGGTCTCCTGTGATGTACTTCTCGACTTAAATCAGTAACGTTTGTAGTGTGTTGAAAATTGAAAAGTAGAAATGTATAATACCAAATGCAGTTCCATCCTTGCTCTTGAATTATAAAAGAATTACTTGTTTTCAGGTAATCTCTACCAGTTCCATTAATTCAGAACGTAAGCCGTGTTAGAAACGTCTGCACCGTGTCTCCAATCTCCAGAGTCATTTGATAAAAAATATATAATTTCAAGTCCATTTCGATTTGATTTTGATCAACAAAGCAATTTAAAAGTAGGTGATACTCATGATTTTGATTTAAAAAATGTTTCAGATGCAATAAGATCGGCAGAAAAATTTGTCTTACTAGATAAAATTCAAAATTTCGAAAAAAGTTACAGGAAGCAAATGTAAGATTTCAAAAGTCAAATAAGCTGTATGAAAATAAACTTGAAAAACTAAAGAAAATGCAGGAAAAAATTGACAATTACAGTAAAGGTCAACATTGTGTAGTGAAAATTGAGTCAGGTGTAAAGGACTTAGAACCAAGGGCTGCGTTTTTACTTCATCAAATTTATAATTATTCTAAAAAAACCGAAGATGGTCTGAAGTTACAGTACGTCATTGTACTGCCTGGAGGTACATTTCTTCAAAAAGTTATGAATTTGCGAGAAGAAGTCATTTTTTAAAAGCCCTATCCACAAGAACTTTAGACAGATATATGGGAAATTCTCAAGGGGATCCAGGCTTGACTAATTTAATTAAAAACAGAATAACTGCTGAAGGCAATAATTTAAAAGACGTTGAGAAAATATGTTCCGTTATTATAGATAACATGGCTATTAAAGAAAAAATGGAGTATAGTCGAACTGAAAATACATTTTACGACATAAACACGATTAGCCCGTCACACCAGACTTTTATTTAAAAACACAACGCGTTTCAACCACAAAGTGGTCATCCTCAGGTGAGAATAAAATAAAACTGTTAACTGATATGTAACTGATTTTTTGCTTAAAAAATTGAATACTAAATGTGATAATTGCTTAAATGCCTTAATGAGTAAGACTGTGTTACCTGATCATACTTTTGTAATGTTTAAAGAATATGACGACATAAAAGATTATGTTAGTCCTAATTTGATATTGTATGTTAATCAACTGAAATCAGTATTTGATCATGTGATAAAAACTCATGGATATATATTGAATATTAAACAAAAACTTCTTGATTTAGCATTAGATGAATTGATTTTTCAGTGGTTTCAGTGCGAAAAGCATAGGGCCACAGTATTTAAAGATTTCACTGTTTGTGCCTTGACATTAATTACAAAAAAAAWTTGTGATGATAGTCGTAGGGACGATAATAATAAAACTAAACAAAAGAAATTACTAACTTTTAGATAGATTTTGTATGTTTTTGTTTGTTTTAGTTTCTGTATGTTTTGTTCCCTTATTGAAGACTGATTAGATACAGGTGTTTCAGAACTCGCGCTCCAGCGAAAAATGCCATGTAAAGTAAGACACCGAGAACATAGAAAAAATGTTAACAAAATTCTACATTTCGAAGTTATGGGAGTAAATTTTGCACTTTGACTCTATTTATTTCTGTTGGAAAAAAAATTTTACATGTTTTCATATCTTCCATGTTCTTGGTACCTCATCTTACTTGGAATTTTTCTCTGGTGTGCACGAGTCCTGTATAGATGCAATTTTTTTCTGTTGTTTTTATTTTCTGCTATTTTTGTTTAATTATATTTCGTTTCATTGTTTCATATTTTCTAAGTAAATATTTATTTAACTTTCAATTTTTTTTTCTTTGAATTCTGCATATTTTTAAGGTTGCGAATGCTCTATGGAACTGTAAAATGACGAATGAGACCAATTTGTCTAATGATGGCTCTAATGTTCCATGGAATATTCGCAGCCTGTTAAAGGTTGAAGAATTTGCCCCTGCATTTTTCCACTAAAGTATTAAAAAAATTAAATAAACCGGCAAGCAGTACGATTGGCCCGTCAGTGTGCAACAGAGAACGACATATATAGCTGTTTCATTGCAATTTCCTACACACGTATGTGATACTCTCGTTTACTTCACTTCTCTCTGATCTCTACCATAAACACCAGGAAACATAAAGTGGTACAACTGTGATTTTATTCCAACTTAAAAACTGTATTTTCAACTATGTGTTCTATGTAATGATAAAGTGTTGAAGTAAATAAAACACAAAGAGATTAAATTGATTTTTTTACAAAAAAGTAATTCTGGACCACTTGAAAATTATTTAACTAAAATTTCATTCTTTAGAACTTGAATTTGTATAATAACAAAAGAATATTTATTTTTATTTTATTGGGTTCAAGTTATTTCTAACCAAGAGTTATTCAGATCAAAAGCAAAATTTGTGTAAAAATTAATTAGTGTAAAGAAGAACCATCCATACTCGTATTATCCAACTCTGATACTATTTTGGGTTCTTGAAACACTTTGAATAAACTTGTTTAACAAAAGATATTAATTATTTACTTGAATTTTGCTTAGCTTATGTTAAATTATTGCAGATCTTTATCTCTCCTAGAAGTCGTTTTAAAACATGATTCAGTAAGAAGATTTTAATATAAATTGCTATCTTGCATATAAATCTGAAGAGAATTGCCTTTTACAGGGTGCGCCAGAACTCGCGCCCCAGAGAAAAATGCCATATAAGATAAGATACCAGGAACATGGAAAAAATGTTAAAAAAATTTTATCTATAAAAATTTCGATTTTATGAGGGTTTAAAGTTTGCACTTTGACTCTATTTATTTCTGTTGAAAAAATAATTTTCCAAGTTTTTTTGCTATAGGCTATTAAAAGAGGAAACAAGGAAGCTGTATCGTAAATTGTTACTCTGTTCATTGTTATTTGTGGCTTTTATTGGCAAAATTGTTGTTCCTCTACTAAATAATTGTAAAAAAAACATATAAAAGATCATCAGTATTCTTAAATAGATATAAAAATATGTCAAATGTCAAAAAATAAATGTCTGGGGCGCGAGTTCTGGCGCATCCTGTATATTGCAGAATTACTGGAAATACACATTTATAACAGCTCATAAGTTACAATCAAAGAAATTAGTAGAAGCTAGGTAAACTATTGGTTTAGAAAATGATTTCTAAAAA